GCTTCCTTCCTTTGGACGGTTCCAAATGTTTAATAGCTCACCAATCCAGTGAGTTATTTATTATACTTCAATTGTGTGTACACTATTTTTATGGTCATGGTTTGGCACTTAACTCTTTTTTTAGTTTTTATTAAGGGTTGGCACTATTATTTATATCACTATTGATATTTTTGTCAGTTTTGCACATCATTATAATTGAGTTGTAGTTGTTTAGAGCGCTGCACTGTTTTATTTATAATTTATTGTACACACTGTTTTTTGGTATCAGTTTTTGAGTGCTGGCAGTTTATTTATAATTTTATTGACACTGTTTTTTGGTATCAGTTTTTGAGTGCTGGCAGCTAGAGAAAGAGGTTTAGTAGTTCCATTCTCATAGCGCAGGAGGATTTCGGATTATTCTCCTCCTCATAACCCTCGTACTTCTTTACCCCAGGCTCACCACATCCTATCTAGTTTTAGTAACATCTCTTACTACAAGGTAAATTTTTTCAAAGTCATTGATTTTAGACTTAGGCACCCCTGAACCAGAGAAGCAATTGTTACAGCAATTACTCCCATATCTATGGTCCTCTCAAGGAGTCCCATATCTGTGTACAACCCTAACCCCTTACACGAAACACCTTACCCACGTTAATGTTCAGACTTCTCTAAAAAAAAAGTTTCACAAGAATTGGTTCGCTTGACCACATTTGAACTATCTTGGTCTAAATGCTTTCCATCCTACTAAATGTTTATTCTCCCCCAAATCCTTTACCTTTTTAAAACATTGTCCACTCCAGTTCCTTCTAAATATATCTGTGCTCTACAAGCCTCATTGAAACCGTTCTTATGACAAGGTAAGAGGGCCAGATGCTCTCGTGCCCTCCTGATTAAACATAAACGAGCGGGCAGAATGGGTATGATAGACATCAGAGATTATTACCTGGCTGCCTCGACCAACGTAAACATTAGTTCGTACCCTCATATTCTTCACCTTGGCTGGCCATAGAGCGTTCCCTGACCCCAGCCCTTGATCTCTGTTCTCTCTTAATTGCTGACATATGGCAACCCTTTTGCTTGAATAAATTTTCCCCTCCAATGAGAACCTCCCTTCTTACGCGGAGAGAAGTGCACAGATACCCTAGTTCTGAAGTCTTTGACACTTCACTCCAAATCCCTCTCCTGACAATACACTCAGTTATCCCGAATATAAACTTTAGGCCTTGGTTATCAAAAGGTATTAATGTCATAAATGACATAATGTCACACGGGTTACCCCTCCCCATGGAGACACTGAGGGAACGATTTGGACTAACAGATGCAGATTATTTCCAGTATCTCCGAGTTCAACACCTCCTGTTAGCATCACCCCTTCCGGTAATTCATTTACCTCAACGCTTACTACAATGTTTTCTATCTACACCTCCCAAAAGTAAGGGTATCTCTCTAATATACAATATCCTGCAAGATAAATTAACTTTTCACAAACTAGGACCCTTCTTACGCTGGGAGGAAGATTTGAATTCCTCCTTTGATCCCTCCCAATGGAAGAGCGCACTTAAGTCAATTTGTAAAGCCTCACACTGCATCCAGCATTGGGAATTAACACAAAAACTTTCTCTCCGCTGGTACCTCACTCCATACCGTCTGGCCCAGTTCTCTACGTCCCAGTCTCCACTATGTTGGCGTGGGTGTGGTCAAATTGGTAACCTTATTCACACCTTCTGGACCTGTAAAAGTGTTGTCAGTTTATGGAACAAAATTTTTGCAGTGATTTCAGAAGTGACAGGTTAAAAGATTACTCCCAATCCTGCCTTAGTGGTTCTGAACCTGGGTATTGATGACATCCCTCGTCCTGTCTGTTTATTCACTGCACATGTCCTGATTGCTGCCAGAGTCGTGATAGCCAAACATTGGAAAGCCCAGGATGCACCTAATGCCTCTGAAGCTCTTGCGCTTGTTAAACTCCCTTACTCTTATGAACGTGTCTTAGCACTATGGTCGGGCCAGATCTCGTCCTTTGAATCTGATTAGGAACCCTGGATCACCTGGTCGAAAAGGGGTTCCTAGCCACTCCACGCCATTCATTCCCATCTAGATCTACCTTATTCCCTTCCCTATGCGACCATCTGTACCATTTTATTGATGACTAGTTAACTGGTACTCCACGTGCATTGTCTTTGTATTTGTGTATTTTATTATGTTCCCTTTTTTTTTTCCTGTTATATATGATAACTATTTTCATTGCAAGCCTGCATATGGTGGAATAACATGTATGTTTTCTTGTTTACACAATCAATAACAATTTATTGGTAAAAAAAAAAGATAGGGATTTCTGAGTTTGTGATTCCTACCTAAGAATGTGACTGAACTGGAGGCCTTTGCCCATGAAGAATGGGCGAAGATACCCGTTAGATCGCTGCAAGACACTTGTGTCAAGCTATGCTTCACGTTTTAAAAGCTGTTATAACTGTAAAAGGATGCTGTACTAAGTACTAAGATTGAATGTCACTTGGGGGTTGAATAAAACTGATAATGCTGTGAGCACAGAAAAAGACATTTGTGGTTATTTCATTATAACTGTTATGTTATATTTGTCTGACCTACAAGTGCCTCTTTAATGTAAATGTAAGCAAGATGACTGAATGATCAAAAGCAATGTCAAACTGGCCAAAACACTCAATTTGTTGAAAGCAATTTATTGGTAAAAAAAAAAAGATAGGGATTTCTGAATTTCTGAGTTTGTGATTCCTACCTTGTTGAAAGCAACAAAGGTCACTTCCAGGTATCTCTAATATTGTACCTGAAAATATTTACCTGGTAATGTAGTAAATTCAGTCCCAAATATTACTCCATGCCTCACATTCTGGCCTTAGTGCAAAGAGGTCTTTTCCGGAATCTAACTTTTGGCATCCTAGAAGGGCAGCCTATCAGCCTTATCCATCCTCAAGTTCAACTTGATGCGAAACATCAAAGAAAATCGGACAATCGCTCTCCTTATTTTCTTATAGTGTGTACCCAGCTTAAGACCGCCACTTGGTCTTCTGTTTATACTTTCTCAAACTTTTACAAGGTAATTTTTCAGTTTTCTGCAGATGAAGCTTTTGGGCACAAGGTTCTTGTAGTGGCACTCTAAACTCGGGTCTTCTATCCTTGTTGTTTTGTGGGCCTGTTGGCACACTTCTGTTTGCTTAGTTGTTGCCCACACTTGGGTCTTCTATCCTTGTTGTTTTGTGGGCCTGTTGGCACACTTCTGTTTGCTTAGTTGTTGCCCACACTTTTATTCAATCCTTGGGGACAACCCATGGTATATGAACAAGTTCACTGTCCTGTACTGTACAATTAAGATGAAAGGAATTTTGACTTGCCTGTAACATTTATAGTACAAGACACAGACCATCCTCCCTAACTCTCCTTGTTTCCTCTGTATTGCTTGTTACTAAACTTACTCCCTTGTTTTTTTTTTTTTATTTGGAATAAATAGTTTAAACAAAAAATGGGGAAAAAATTCCTGTATCTTTTCTCAACCTAATTTGCACACCCTTATAGGGTATATTTACAGCAAAATGTAATCAGCAGTCTGCTGATTAAAATGATATCACATTAGTGCAATGTTATGGAGTGTTGCAGAGTGGTGAAGTTCAGAGTACAAGTATGCATTTTACTTTAACTACTCACCAACCAGCCGCAGTACATATACTGCAGATAGGCGGCACGTGCAGACACAATCATGTGCATGTACATCAGTTTGCCTGCTCCGACTCAGGGTTGTGCAGCAATCTGAATGATAATCAATTACAGTGGACATAAAAAGTCTACACACCCCTGTTAAAATGTCAGGTTTCTGTGATGTAAAAAAAGAGATAAAGAGAAATAATTTCAGAACTTTTTCCACCTTTAAACACTTGCCTACTGGGCACTTTTCCGACTTCCAGCCCAGGCCAATTTTCAGCTTTCAGTGCTGTTGCACTTTGAAAGACAATTGCACGGTCATGCTACATTGTACCCATCTGCAATTTTTTGCTTTTTTTTTTTTTCCAAACAAATAGAGCTTTCTTCTGGTGGTATTTAATCGCCGCTGTTTTTAAAAAAAAAAAATTTTTTTTTTTTTGCACTGTAAATGAAAAAACAAAATTTTAAAAAAAAAAAAGGTTTTCTTTTGTTTCTATTATAAAATTTGCAGACAGGTAATTTTTCTCCTTCACTGATGTGCATGAGGCTGCACTGATAGGCAGCACTGATGGGAAATGATGAGAAGGCACTGATGATGCACTGATATGCAGCAATGATGGGCACTGATTGGCGTTACTGAAGGGCGGCAATGACTGATAGCCCCGACTGGAGGCACTGCTAGGCGGCACTGCTGGGCACTGACAGGTGGTACTGCAGGGCACTGATGGGTGGCACTGATGGGCGGCACTGATAAACCGTGCCCTGATTATCACTGCAGATCTCCCCTGTCACATTTGCCAGGTATCGGCAGTACGTTCCTCACGCTGTGACAGCGTGAGGAAAGTTCTGCCGATAACCGGCAACTGTATTTACTTTGTGATCTGTTGTGTCATTGGACATATCTGATTATGTGGTAAAAGGCCGCTGTGATTGGCTTTTTACCTCATTACGTGATCAGCTCACCAACCGCGCAGTCGACCTCCCAGAACACAGAGGGCACGTTCTGGGAGGACATCCATAGACACCTTCCCAGAACTGGACAACCGCGCTGTAGCCATCATTTGTCTATAGCGAGGTTGGGAAGCAGTTAATGTAACCTATAAACTGTACAACTCGGTTAAACAACAAACTGAAATCTTTTAGGTGGAGGGAAGTAAAAATAAACTAAAATATGGTTGCGTAAGCGTGCACACCCTTAACCACCGCCCGCCATATAGTCCAATGACGGGCGCAAGGTGGTTCTCTGGTTCTGAGAGGGCATCATATGACGTCCTCCCATTCTCACCGCACATGCGCGGCTCAGGGAGCGAGCGGCGGTGCGCTGTGTCCCTCGGACACAGCGGATCACCGATCATGGAAAGGGCCGAAGATGTCGGCTCGGTCATGTGATCAGCTGTGTCCAATCACAGCTGATCACATGTAAACACGGAAATGCCGGTTATCGGCATTTCTCTCCCCTCGAGCTGTCACGCTGACAGCTCAAGAGGAGAGCCGGTAATCTGCTTTCCGCGGAGGGGACATGTACACTGATCATCAGGGCACTGATGATCAGTGTTTCCTGATGATCAGTGTAGCCCCAGCTGTGCCACCTGTCAGTCAATCAGTGCCAGCTATCAGTGCCAGTGCCTATCAGTGCCACATCAATGCTGCATACCAGTGCACATCAATGCCACATATCAGTGCCCATCTGAGCTGGCTTTCAGTGTCATCCATCAGTGTTATCTATCAGTAGTGCCTATCAGTGTGCATCAGCCTGTGCATCAGTGCCGCCTAACAGTGCCAGTCAGTGTCGCCTATCAGTGAAAGTCAGTGCCACCTAACAGTGCCATGTATCAGTGCTGCCTTTCAGTGCCAATCAGTGATGCCTGTCAATGCCCATCAGTGCCACCTACCAGTGCCACCTATCAGTGTCCATCAGTGCAGCCTATCAGTGCCCATCACTGCAGCCTCATTATCGCACATCAGTGAAGGAGAAAAATCACTTTACAAAATTTTATAACAAAAACTAAGAAAAAAAACTTTTTTTTTTTTTTTAAATATTTCAGTGGTTTTTGGTTTAAGAAAAAATAAAAAACCCAGAGGTGATTAAATACCACTAAAAGAAAGCTCTATCTGTCACAAAAAAAATTATAAAAATTTCATATGGGTACAGTGTTCAATGACCGCGCAATTGTCATTAAAAGTGCGACATGCGCTGAAATCTGGAAATTGGCCTGGGCAGGAAGGGAGTATAAGTGCCCTGTAGGCTAGTGGTTAAACTAATACTTTGTTGAAGCACCTTTTGATTTTATTACACAACAATATTTGCCCACTCTTCCCTGCAAAAACATTCCAAATCTGTCAGATTGCGAGGGCATCTCCTGTGCACAGCCCTATTCAGATTGTTCCACAGATTTCTGATTGGATACAAGTCTTGGCCTTTCCAAAACTTTAATCTTCTTCTGGTAAAGACTTTGTTGATTTGGATGTATGCTTTGGGTCGTTGTAATGCTGAAAGATGACGTTCCTCTTCATGTTCAGCTTTCTAGCAGAAACCTGAAGGTTTTGGTGCCAATATTGACTAGTATTTGGAACTGTTCATAATTTCATTTTCCTTTACCTTGACTAAGGCCCCAGTTCCAGCTGAAGAAAAACAGCCCCAAAGCATGATGCTGCCACCACCATTGTACACTCTGGGTGTTCTTTTGGTGATGTGCAGTATTGTTTTTACGCCAAACATATCTTTTGGAACTATAGCCAAAAGGTTCAACCTTGGTTTCATCAGACCGTCACACATTTTCCCACATGCTTTTGGGAGACTTCAGATGTGTTTTTGCAAAATTTATCCGGGCTTGGATGTTTTTCTTAGCAAGAAAAGGCTTCCATCTTGCCATTCTACCCCACAGCCCAGACAAATGAAGAATACAGGCGATTGTTGTCAAATGTACCACACGGCCAGTACTTTCCAGATATTCCTGCAGCTCCTTTTAATGTTGCTGTAGGCCTCTTGACAGCCTCCCAGACCATTTTCTTCTTGTCTTTTCATCAATTTTGGAGGGACGTCCAGCTTTTGGCAAGGTCACTCTTGCACCATATTTTCTGCACTAGATGATGACTGTCTTCACTGTGTTCCATGTTATATCTAATGCCTTGGCCTTTTTTTACCCTTCTCCTGACTGATACCTTTTAACAATGAGATCCCTCTGATGATTTGGAATCTCTCTGCAAACCATGGCTTTTGTCAGGAAAGACCTACTAGAACAGCTAAACTTTATTTGGGGTTAATTACAGGAACTTTAAATAATGGCAGGTGTGTACTGAGTCCATGATTTTGAATGTGATTGCCTAATTCTGAACACAGTTTATGCAACTGCATTATTTTAGTTTATGTCCCCCCTCCCCCCCAAAAAAAAGATTTCAGTTTGTTTTTCAATTGAGTTGTACAGTTTACACATTAAAGGTGGAAGAAGTTCTGAAATGATTTATCTTTGTCTCATTTTTTATTACATCACAGAAACCTGACATTCTAACGGGTGTGTAGACTTTTTATATCCACTGTATATGATCATTTAAGGTTCTGAGACGTGTGTGTATGTATGTATATATGTGTGTGTGTGTGTGTGTGTGTATATATATAATATATATATATATATATATGTGTGTGTATAAATATGTGTTGTAAAGCGCCAAGCAAGCTGTTGGCGCTATGTAAATCCTGTAATAAATATATATATATATATATATATATATATATATATATATATACACACAGTGAGTAACAAAAGTATTTGAACACCCTGCGATTTTGCAAGTTCTCCCACTTAGAAATCATGGAGGGGTCTGAAATTCACATTATAGGTGGATTCCCACTCTGAGAGACAGAATTAAAAAACTAAATTCAGGAAATCACATTGTAGATTTTTAAAGAATTTATTTGTCTTGCACTGCTGAACATAAGTATTTGAACACCTAAGAAACAGCAAGAATTTTGGCTCTCAAAGACCTGTTACTCTGCCTTTAAAAAGTCCACCTCTACTCCACTCATTAATCTAACTTAGTAGCACCTGTCTGAGCTCTTTAAAAACACCTGTCCACCCCACAGTCAGTCAGACGCCAACTACTACCATGGGCAAGACCAAAGAGCTGTCAAAAGACACCAGAGACAAAATTGTGGACCTTCACAAGGCTGGAAAGGGCTACGGGGCAATTGCCAAGCAGCTTGGTGAAAATAGATCAACTGTTGGTGCAATTGTTAGAAAGTGGAAGAGGCTAAAGACGACTGTCAGTCTCCCTCGGACTGGGGCTCCATGCAAGATCTTACCTCGTGGGGTATCACTGATGATAAGAAAGGTGAGGAATCAGCCCAGAACTACAAGGGAGGAGCTGGTCAATGACATGAAGAGAGCTGGGACCACAGTTTCAAAGGTTACTGTCGGTAGAACACTACGCCGTCATGGTTTCAAATCATGCATTGCACGGAAGGTTCCCCTGCTCAAGTCATCACATGTCCAGGCCTGTCTGAAGTTTGCCAATGACCATCTGGATGATCCAGAGGAGGCATGGGAGAAAGTCATGTGGTCAGATGAGACCAAAGTAGAACTTTTTGGTCTAAACTTCATTCGTTGTGTTTGGAGGAAAAAGGATGAGTTGCATCCCAAGAACGCCATCCCTACTGTGAAGCATGGGGGGTGGTAACATCATGCTTTGGGGGTGCTTTTCTGCAAAGGGGACAGGGCGACTGAATTGTATTAAGGAGAGGATGAATGGGGCCATTTATTGTGAGATTTTGAGCAACAACCTCTTTCCCTCAGTCAGAGCATTGAAGATGGGTCGTGGCTGGGAGTTCCAACATGACAACGACCCGAAGCACACAGCCAGGATAACCAAGGAGTGGCTCCATAAGAAGCATATCAAGGTTCTGGAGTGGCCTAGCCAGTCTGTAGACCAGCAATGGGCAAACTACGGCCCGGCGGACCTTTTAATCCGGCCCGCGGAGCGTGCTAAAAAAAAAAAAACACAGCCAGGGCAGGCAAACATTGGCTGTCAGGATGTGTGTAGGCGGGGCAGCGTGACGAATGTGAAGGGAGCTAGGCTCCTCTCACAGTCCGCCCTGAAGACCGGAACGGCGCGGGAACACGGCGAGAGGAACGCGCGGAGCAAAGGTAAGTGAATTGACACAGGGGGGACTTGGCTTACTACTTGGGGGAATAGTACTGTGGGGGATGAAATACTATATGAGGGATTAATTAATATGGGGGATGAATTAATATGGGGAATGAATTACTATATGGGGGATTAATTACTATGGGGGATGAATTACTATATGGGGGATGAATTACTATATGGGGGATGAATTACTATATGGGGGATGAATTACTATGGGGGATGGGGGATATGGGGGATTAATTACTATGGGGGATGAATTACTAATATGGGGGATGACTATGGGGGATAAATTACTATATGGGGGATGAATTACTATTATGGGGGATGAATTACTATATGGGGGATGAAATTACTGAATCTACTTTTGGTCCGGCCCCCGGGTCCCATATATGAACCCATTGCGGCCCTCAAGTCAAAAAGTTTGCCCACCCCTGCTCTAGACCTAAATCCAATAGAACATCTTTGGAGGGAGCTGAAACTCCGTGTTGCTCAGCGACAGCCCCGAAACCTGACAGATCTAGAGGAGATCTGTGTGGAGGAGTGGGCCAAAATCCCTGTTGCAGTGTGTGCAAATCTGGTCAAGAACTACAGGAAACGTTTGACCTCTGTAATTGCAAGCAAAGGCTTCTGTACCAAATATTAACACTGATTTTCTCAGGTGTTCAAATACTTATATGCAGCAGTGCAAGACAAATTCTTTAAAAATAATAAAATGTGATTTCCTGAATTTTTTTTTTTAAATTCTGTCTCTTGAGTGAGAATGCACCTACAATGTGAATTTCAGACCCCTCCATGATTTCTAAGTGGGAGAACTTGCAAAAACGCAGGGTGTTCAAATACGTCTGTTCCTCACTGTATATATATATATATACAGTCAGGTCCATAAATATTGGGACATCAACACAATTCTAACATTTTTGGCTCTATACACCACCACAATTGATTTGAAATGAAACGAACAAGATGTGCTTTAACTGCAGACTGTCAGCTTTAATTTGAGGGTATTTACAGCCAAATCAGGTGAACGGTGTAGGAAGTACAACAGTTTGCATATGTGCCTCCCACTTGTTAAGGGACCAAAAGTAATGGGACAGAATAATAATCATAAATCAAACTTTTACTTTTGAATACTTGGTTGCAAATCCTTTGCAGTCAATTACAGCCTGAAGTCTGGAACGCATAGACATCACCAGACGCTGGGTTTCATCCCTGGTGATGCTCTGTCAGGCCTCTACTGCAACTGTCTTCAGTTCCTGCTTGTTCTTGGGGCATTTTCCCTTCAGTTTTGTCTTTAGCAAGTGAAATGCATGCTCAATCGGATTCAGGTCAGGTGATTGACTTGGCCATTGCATAACATTCCACTTCTTTCCCTTAAAAAACTCTTTGGTTGCTTTTGCAGTATGCTTTGGGTCATTGTCCATCTGCACTGTGAAGCGGCGTCCAATGAGTTCTGAAGCATTTGGCTGAATATGAGCAGATAATATTGCCCGAAACACTTCAGAATTCATCCTGCTGCTTTTGTCAGCAGTCACATCATCAATAAATACAAGAGAACCAGTTCCATTGGCAGCCATACATGCCCACGCCATGACACTACTACCACCACCATGCTTCACCGATGAGGTGGTATGCTTAGGATCATGAGCAGTTCCTTTCCTTCTCCATAC